TAGCAGCCCGCTCGCCCAGCGCTGGGGGTGCCGCAGGGCCACAGGCTGGCCACCCTCCCCGGCTCACAGGCGCAGGGGATGGGCGGGAGGCTGGTGCGTCTTCCAGCCGGGCCGCCCCCTCCCAGGCCTGTGGTTCCTCTGAGAGGTGGACACTGAAACGGTACGCGCTCGGCAGCCAGGCCCCCTCGACTGCCAGATGGACGGGGACAGGCCCTGGAGCTCGACCTGTGGCCACAGGCCATGGCGGTGCCTCCCAGGCCCCCTACCGCCTGGCTCTCCTGAAGCCGCTGGCAGCCACCACGCCCTGGGGACAGGGAGAGGCCCTGTGGGTCTGGGGGGGCTGGGTGGGGCCCCAACTCACCGCCACCAACAGCTTTGTCTGAACGCTTCCCCTCCGCACGTGGGAACAGGCCTCTGGAAACCAGGTGAAAAGAGGGCGGAGCCCAGTCTGGGGTTTGCACCTGGGCAGCCGCCTCTGCATGGGCTCCCCCTCCTCTCCCTCCTCCTCCTCCTTCCTCAGCGGGGCTTCTTCATTCCATCAGCCGAGCAGGCAGTGCCTGAGCCTGAGCTGCTGAGGGCTCACTTCAGGTGTTGAAAAGCCGGCCCCCCTTTCTCCCTCTCCCCCCTTTCTCCCCCTCTCCTCCTCTTTCAACAACTCCGTGAGTCCCAGTGACTCCTGGTAATTTCCCTTCATTCAAAATGCTCCTCTCCCTGCAGAACACGTGGGTTTCCTGGGCTTTGAGCACTTACAGGGGAGGGACTGTTTGGCGGAAGGTGTACTCATGTCCTTCTCTCCCCAAACAGACGGACACACAGCTCCCCCCGCTCCCCCACCCAGTCTCCTCTCCGCAGGCCTGTCTGCTGAAAGGCCCACCGCCCGGGTTCTGGGGGGATGCTCCCCACGGTGGAGGGGGGTGCCTGGCCGGTGGCGTCTCTGCACGCCCCACCGCTGAGTTATGAAAGCTCTCTTCCCCGCACAGGTGTTTGTTCAGTCGTGGGTGGTAAGAAGGCACGAGGCAGGAGGGAGAGAGGAGGAGGGAGAGGAAGAGAAGAAAAAGGAGAGAAGAGAGAGTCCAGCAAGACAGGGCACGAGAAAGGCAGAGACAGAGAATATTCGAGAAGGAGAAAAAGACTCAGAGGAGGGACAGGAAGCCCGGCCAGTGCTGTTCAGTGGTTAGTGTCGACCTATGAACCAGGAGGTCATGGTTCGATCCCCAGTCAGGGCTCCATCCCCAGTGTGGGGCGTGCAGGAGGCAGCCGATCCATGATTCTCTCTCATCATTGATGTTTCTCTCTCTCTCCCTCTCCCTTCCTCTCTGAAAGCAATAAAAAAATTTTAAAATAATTTTTTAAAAAAAAACAGAGAGAGAGAGAGCGAGCGAGCGAGCGCCAGGACGGTTAATATTTATTGAGCATTTATTGTCAGAAAGGGGGGATGCCCGAGACCCGCCCTCTCGTCAGGGGTGTGTGAGCTGCAGCTGGGGGCTGTGATGACCGATGGAGCAGATAGGCTTGTAGGTCAGCTTATTCGAGGGACGGAGGGTGTGAGCTGCCACGCTGGGCGGGGCCTGCAGCCGGGTGCCTGCCTGCCTGCCTGGAGGTGGCGCTCCGGCAGGTGCGGGTGGGGGTGGCGGCTGGTGCCGCAGCTCCTGATTTTCCAGGAACACCTGGAAAGCCAGGTTTTCATGTGAAGTCATCCTATTGTGTCAATGGCCTTTGTTTTGTAGGTGTTTTTCATAGACTTGATTTCTTAGTGTTTCATTCTATTTCCAAAAGTTCCACATCCTATTCAAGTGCTTCCCAGCTGCCCTGTAGCCGCGCAGCAGCCTGCGGTTTGGGCCGGCCGGCGGTCCCCGGTCCGTGTCCAACCTCCTGCCCAGAGGAAGTGACAGGCTGTTGAGGGCGCAAGACAAATAAATTGGTAGTTACCACACCTGCGATAAGGGTGATGACAGACGTGAGTCCCGGTGAGTCAGCACCAGAGGAGGGGCGGCTCCCGCAGCTGGCAGGTGCGAATCCGGGAAGGCTTCTTGGAGGAAGGTGACCACGGAGCTGATTCCTGGAGGTGAGTAGGAACAGGTTCCAGAAA